TGACCCTTGCATGGGTCAAAAACAATCCTATGAGATGGAAGGAATTCGTAGGCAATAGGGTAGCCGCTATTCACGAGTCKGTACCCCATGCTCMTTGGAGATTCMTCTCCGGAAAGCTCAATCCAGCTGACTGTGCATCTCGCGGTCTTAGTGCATCTTAACTCATTGATGACCCACTATGGTGGAGTGATCCACCATCGCTTTCTCAGTCGCCAGAATTTTGGCCCTCGTCAGTGCCACCCTCACCGGAGGAGGATATGGAGGAACGTCCTGGCATCTCACTTGCACTCTCACAAGCCCATCCTCCAGTTTGGGACCTCGTTGACCTTCCGCAATCATCCTCCTTTCATCGGCATCTCACTAAACTACTTTGGATCACGGCAATCATTCGGAGAGCGGTCTCGCGCTTTAAGAGGGTTCCTGGCTCGAGCTTGTCCGCATCGCCATTGAATCCAGAAGACCTGGAGAAGGCAACATTGTTCTGGATACGCGCGACTAAAGAGGCGTACTTCTCATCAGAATTAAGAACGTTGTCGGCAGGTCAATCTCTTCACAAACGTCACGTTCTGACACGACTCACGGCCTTTGTCGATCGTGCAGGAATTCTCAGGGTTGGTGGATGGCTGCAAAATTCTCAGCTGGATGATGATAGTAAACATCCAGCAATACTACCTCGTCAGTCAAAATTCACCAACCTAGTCATCTCCGATGCTCATGCCAGAACCATGCATGGAGGAACTAAGCTAACGCTCTCCTACATTCGACGAACTTTCTTGATTATTGGAGGTCGTGCTCCAGTGAAGTCCTTCCTCAAAGATTGTCTCACTTGTGCTCGAATACGTGGAGTGAGAGCACAGCAACTCATGGCTCCACTCCCGGCATCTCGAGTAACACCATCTCTTGTGTTCGAGACTACAGGGCTGGATAACGCCGGGCCAGTCACCATGAAGACTTTTCAGGGCAGAGGTGCAAAGTCCTTCAAGGGTTGGATGGCAGTGTTCATATGCTTCTCCACCTCTGCCGTTCATCTCGAAGTAGTCTCTGACTACTCCACCGAAGGATTTCT